CATCCATAGTGAATCACCATATTTATGGCTGGGTAAAACCACCATTCAGACTTGAGTTTCAGGATTTCTGCTTTGGATGGTGGCTTTATGGGCATTTTTACGACAAATTTCATAGATTCTTTTTATACTAAGATTGTCCTATTTTAATGAAAAAAATGCTAGTTTGCAAAGGAACGGAATATCATAATCAATATTGGGATTTTTTTTTCCTCACAGCCGCTGAACTATGAGAAAAAGAAGTCATACACCCTCAACATAGAAGGAGCGAATACACATCTTGATTTTCGTTTTTCTCACTTGGGTCCTTTTAAAGATGCTACGATGCTGAAGATCATTGTTGGCGATGTAGATGAACCACCACTATTTTCCATGCCTTTCTATGTAATGGAAGTCTATGAAAATGCCAAGATTGGAACCATCGTTGGCACAGTTTTGGCACAAGATCCTGACAGTGCTAATAGCTTAGTAAGGTATAGTACATGTCATGTCAACCTTTTAGCTGTATAAATATTTTTATTGCCTCCCATATTAATTGAACATCAATGAAATAATTTTTAAAATATTTTATTTCCATGTCATCTTTCTATTTAATGTAATAAAACTAGAACGTTAGATGATTCTTTAAATGAGTGATTTAGTAAGTGAGTTTCATTTAAATTAAGAATACTGTAGTTACCTCCAAGAAAATATTGTTGACCGTACTGTTTAACTTTTCCACTTGATTTTTTTTTCTTAGTATCCACAAATGCCTTTTTATTTATTCATTTATTTTGAATGTTTTATTGTGTTTTAAGTGAAAGTTTATACAGTAAATTAGGTTCTCATTGAACAGTTTTTGTACAAATTTTTCCATGACATTGGTCACAATTTTCACAATGTGTCAGCATTCTCGTTATTTCCATTTTATTTGTTCTTTTTCCATTTATCTAGCTTCCCTTCTCCTCTTTGCCTTCTCATCTTTGCTTTTGGGTAAATATTGACCATTTTCACATACAGTCGATTGCTTAAGGGAGCACATTCCTCATAGGTGATATTGTTTATTTTTTAAGCCAATCTATTATTTGGCTGAAAGGAGACCTCTGGGAGTGGCTTCAGTTCCAAGTTAAAAGGGTATCTTAGGGTGATAGTCTCGGGGATTGCTTTAGTCTCTATCAGTCCAGTAAATCTGGTCTTTTTTAGGAATTGGAGTTTTGTTCTACATTGTTCTCCCTTTCTCTCCGGGATCTTCTATTGTGTCCTTGGTCAGAACATTGGTAGTGGTAGCCAGGCACCATCTAGTTCTTCTGGTCTCAGGCTAGAAGAGGCTGTGGTTCGTGGGGATTATTAGTCCTATGGATGTGTTTCTTCTTTGAGTCTTTGGTTTCCTTCATTCTCCTGTGCTCCAGATGGGAAGAGACTAATAGTTGTATGGTTGCTCACAAGCTTTTAGGACCCCAGAGGCTACCCACCAAACTAGGATGTAGGATATTATCTTTATGAACTATGTTATGCCAATTGACTAAGTTGTCTCACCAGACTATGGTCTCAGCCCCTTTAACTTAGTAAACCAATCCCGTGAGGATTTTGGCTATGTCTAGGAGGCCTTCATAACTGTGCCCCCTATGTGTTTTATTATATATATATATCAATATATATGTAGCACACCCAAACATGTTTATACTTATGCCTACAAATAAACCCATATGTGCACATACATGTACTCACATATATCTTCCTATACACATGTAGCATACCATACATATCTACCTCTGTAACCATACACGTGTTTTTTGGTTGTTATTACTGTCGTTGCAAAATTTTATATGTTATAATATTTACTGTTAATGTCCTTTATTCTTGCGTAGCTCTCAGTGTCTTTTACCTTGGTCAAGTTGTGCTAACTTCCTCCATATTATGTATTGCCTTTCCCATCACCAGAAACAACAGATGTCTACTGTCTAGCAAGTAGTTCTGCCTCACTCCCTCTCCATCCCTGGTAACCCTCAAAGAACGCTGCTTTCTGTGTGTATACCTAATCTTGACTTTTTTATAAAATGAGACCATACAGTATTTATCCTTTTGTGATTGACTTATTTCACTCAGCATAATGTCCTCCAGATTCATGCATATTACAAGATGTTTTGCAGATTCATTGTTATTCTTTATTGTTGGATAGTATTCCATTGTATGTATGTACCACAATTTCTTTATCCATTTATCTGTTGATAGACACTTAGGTGATTCCATCTTTTTGCTGTTGTGAATAATGCTGCAATGAACTGGGGGTGCATGTGTCTATTTGTGTCACTGCTCTTATATTTCTAGGATATATACCTATGAGTGGGATTGTGGGATCATAAGGTATTTCTATTTTTAGCTTTCTGAGGAAGTGCCATGCCATTTCCCATTTTGGTTGTACAATTTTACATTCCCAGAAGCAGTGTATAAGAGTTCCAGTCTCCTCATGACCTTACCAGCATTTATTGTTTTCTGTTTTTTTGATCGGTGCCATTTTTGCAGGGGTGAAATGGTATCTCCTTGTAGTTTTGATTTGCATCTCTCTAATGGGTAATGGTCATGAACATCTCTTCATATGTTTGTTAGCCACCTGAATGTCCTATTTTATGAAGTGTCTGTTCATGTCCTTTGCCCGTTTTTGATTGAATTGTTTGTCTT